CTCCGACGCTACCACCACCGCCGCCTCCGCCTCCACCACCGGCTCCTGTCGTCACGGAACTACCGTCTAGAAATAGAAACCTGCCCGTCAGACGAACTCGTCAGTATTTCATCATTCTGTTCATTGCGCTTTGCCTACTGCACCGGAACGAGGAGAAGATCGACCTAACGTTGGATCAATCGTGTTCATGGATTTTAGATTCGTTTCCGCGAATTTTAAATTTTAAAATCAATATTAAATTAGTATTATATAAATATATTTTATATATTTTCTGCGGTACGTAATAGTAAAGCACTGAATCGCACGTTTATTGAAAAAGTTTCATCGTTTTATACAGATATCTACAGGATATGTCGATCGATCCGCAATAAATGATATTTGTAATTAGCGTAGTGATCGTTTCGCGTTTCTAATTGTAACAACGACCGTGTTATGGTGTCAGTCTATATTAAATATCGTTTGGATACTTGCCGTCTGTCCATTTCGCCGCGCTACCGTTTTCCTGTACCGTCACCGCGAGCTGTCCTGTATACGAGTTGAACGCTGTTGCCGAACTGGAGGTTGGAGGTGCAGGTGGATGACCCGATCCCGGACTTCTCGGTGCTCCCGTAATTCCGGCGTTTCCGCTTCTGGGCATACTGTACAAAGCTTCCGCAAGATCGGCCGCCCTTTTCAATATGATCTCTTTTGGTAGTTTTTCAGGATCTCCAGGATGCCGGGGAATAAGCTTCTGTAACCTTTGGAAGCCGTAATCGATCGTGGGTTCGTTCAATGCTGAAAAATTTTGCGAATGTCATCGTTTTTTTTTCTTTTTTTTTTTTTTTTTAATACGTCATCATGGAAAAAATGGAAAGAATGGTTGTAACTTTTCGTTATACTTACAAACGTAGACGAATCTACCAGGTGCGCCTTTACAGAATTGTTTAGTTTTATAGGATAACGTGACTTCAACGACGCCTGGTATCTGTCGCGGAGGAGTTTGTACTCTGATCGCATTTGGTGTAATTAGCTAAAAGAAAAAGGGGGAAAAAAAAAGAAGAAGCGAATTAAATCATAGCTTCGAAATTTGTTAAATTTCGATTTTTAAAAAATTACATACCTCGCTCCAAACCAACATCGATCCAAAAACAACTTGAAGCCCATCGAAGAAATTCTCCCCAATGATTATCACTGTCGATCCGCCGGATGTCCACCCTTCGTTCGGCGATATCGCTTTTATACACGGCGTTTGAAGAGGTACTGGCGTATAAAGACCTAATTATGCAAATACAAAATATTATTCCTTATTTTATCGATACTTCGATACAAATAGCATTGTTAATGTACTGCAAGATTTCAAGTTATTCCGGTGAAATGGTGGTTTGAATTAAACCTACCAGAGACATAAATTAAAATTGCACACAATGTTAATATCTTAACATTATAGTATGATTAACCATTTACATTTGCATGTCTGTGCTGTTGCGTTATAAAATTATTTTAAGCTACATTAACATTCATAATTATGCATGACCTAATTTGCGTTAAAACAAATTTTACGAAATGTACGACGTGTTACGTACATACAATTTCTTAATTACGATCGTTAAAAACACATAGTAAAAAAGAGGCCCTCGATGGATACGTACGACCCCTGTCACGCGTCAGTTTTACACGCGAAATCACGAAAACAATAATTCGAGTAACAACTTGAAAGAGGGGGTTTGAAAAATTACGCGAATAATCCTTCGATCGCGCGAAGCAAATGGAGACAGTTGGTTAGGAGGTGGGATACGGAAAATTATCCGAATATTCTGTTTATTCGGTGGAGGCCGTTTGATAGATATATTTCTAGTGGGAAGAGAGGGAGTGAGAGAGAGAAAGAGTAAAGGAAAGAGATGGAGAAACAGAAAGGAGGAGGAGGAGGAGGAGGAGGAGGCTGAGAGTGGGCAGAGAAGGGTTGTAACAAGAAGGAAGGGAGGCGATCGGGCCGCCGGTGTCTCTGCTTGGAATTTATAACCCAATGATATCATTTTGTACCCTGGCGAAGCCAAGCCACCCCGGTACCAACCCTGGCAGAGCGGAGCCACGGCAGAGTGGCTGACATCATGGTATATTGCCCCCAGTGATGCTCAAACAGTTTCCACCTCGGGTGCTTGCGCTACTAAATCTTAAAAGGTTTAAGAGATTCCAACTTGGCGTACGATTTTGAAATATCGCGTTTCGAAATTTAACGACTACTTAAATCTGTTCCGTTGACATCGTTACACGTTGTAGAACGTGTTGGGAATTTATATGGTATTCTACTTTGCGCTACGTACAAGTAAGACTCGAGTATTGGAGGGAGGGGGGAAAGGACATAGCGTTAAAGAACAGCGGTATCCGTGTAAATAGAGATTCTTGAATGGGACATGGGTATTTATTGCGTTCAATGTAGAAGAAAGTCGTTAAACAGAGTCGGCCACGTTGGCAACCACCCTGCTGGAGAATTGTCGGGTAAAGTGGTATGAGGCGGAAAAGTAGGAAGAGGAGGAGGAGGAGGAGGAGGAGGGTTGAAAAGAGGGATTCAGTGGAGGAGGCCGGAACAAGCGTACCAACCCGGAATAAATAAAATCCCCCGTGCCACTGGCAAAGTGGTAAGGGGTGCTACTCCTTCTACTCTTTCGAGCTTCTCTCTTACCACGAAACCGTGGCCAAAGAGTCGTACTCCAACACGTTCGGCCCGATTCTCTCTGATCACTGTGAGATCGCGCGATAACTTCGTTTACCCCCGATATAAAGATCCGAGAACTTTTCCGAGAAAAAAAGAAATTCCTTTCGCTTTCATCATTTTACGATAATATTGCGTTCCATTCTTCACAATTTGTATTTTTTTTTTTTCATCGCGACACGATATATGGAGAATCTTTCCACGAAAACAATCTATCCGATGAATTATGAACGAACTATCCTGTTACGACAAAACCTGGTAGAAGAAGAAGAAGAAGAAGAATTTGTTTCGATCGATCTGAAACTTTGATTTCTGGAACGGATGGAAAGATCCATCGCAAGATGTTCTCTTTAGTCGTCCTCTCTTTCGACGTTCCCCTCTCTCCTTTGTCTCATTGGTATGCCTGTTTCAGCGTTTTGGGAGTTGCTCGCCAGGGAATTTGGAAAGAGTGTTAGCGGTATGGCGTCACAGTAGTTGCGAAAGCCGAAAGGATGGCTCGAGATAGCGTAAACTTAGCATTCACAAACCGACATCTCGGAGCAACCAGCGTTAAGACGAAGCGAGATCGGCGGTAGAGAGAGAGAAAAAGAGAGAGAGAGAAAAGGAGGAAAGGAAGGTCCAATTTCGACTCTCCTCCCTTCTCTTTCTTCTTCTCCTTTCATTCTTTCTATCTATCCGTATTTCTCTTCCCTCGATAGCAACCACTTGGCAAAAAAAAGAAAAAAAGAAAAAAGAAAAAAAAAGAGAAGAGCGAAGAAAAGATACGACAGGGTGAAAAGGAAGCTGCGAAGAGGGAAAAAGCGAGAAGAAGAGGAATGGAGGAAATAAGAGCAAGGAAAGAGGGGGCGGAGAGAAGCGTGGTAGATCCCTCGTTTTCCCGCATCCCATTGATTTACATCTTGTCTTGGCGCAGCGAGGAAGAAGAAAGAGTGGAAGAAGAAAGGCGGGAGAAGAGAAGCCGCGCGTAGTCGAGAGGGTGGCCGCATGATATCAGCCGTTTGTATGCGCGACCGACGCCAAACTTTGCTGAATTGCCCTATGACTCCTTATATCCTATTCTCCGAGCACGCCCCCTCCCTCTCCTTTTACGATTCCACCCTCCCTACTCTCTCTCTCTCTGTCTACTCTACTCTCTACTCTCTACTCTCGAGTCGTTATACCGATCTCGAAGAAAACCGAGTCGCTCCCTTCCCTTTCGTTCGAGAATTCCGTAAGGGTGGTGCTAGCATTCTCCAATTGTAAATGACGACTATAAATCGGTCGGGGAACTATCGCGAGATTACGTGTGCGCGATTAATTGCGCGTTTCGCCTGCAATTTAATTCCGTATCTTTTCTATTCGAAGAGAGGAAAATTCATCCATAAGATGCTTTCATCGATACCGATATTTTTGATCGATTGTATCGTTTGTACGAAGCTTTTTAAATATTAACTGTTACATTAATTTTAGAGAGGTTGAATATTCGAGGTGATCGAAAGCATTTAAGAGGATATCACGCCATTTATGATTCGACAGTTGAATTAGAGAGTCGGTGCTACTTACTGTTATATTCTCCAGGATCACTGGGATCCAATCGTTTCGTTCTACGTCCGTGTTTGCTGTTGTTGTGAACGAACATGTTGTCCGAGACGGCCAGTAGCGGTCCCTCTACTCCTACTTGCGTGGAAATGACCACCTGTTACGGAACGTTGAAATTCGTCGACGTAAGATTTCGGTTATTAAAATTTAGGAAAATTTAGGAAAATTTAATCGCATAAAATAAATTGCATAGAAATAGTACCGCTTTTGAAATTTGTCGCAATAAATAAGATAAATAAGAGTATCGCGTAAGGAATTATTTTATGTCACTTTTTTACAATTTTTTCACGTATCGTAAAATGAAACTATGTCATGGAACGTGTTGCGTAATTTTATTTACGCGTTATGTAAGTACATATGTTAATCATATATCTCTTGCGAACAAGCAATGTTGCCTGATTTGCTGCATCGCATTATATGTATTTCGCCATGCATTCCGTGACTCTCGTGACCCCCTATTTGCACGTATGATAGATACTATCATACGTACAAATGTATGAATATAATCTCATTAAAGCTGATCCTTGGAATATCTCGTAGTAACTAATTTTGGGACATTATGGTATTAAATAATTTATCATTATTTTTAAATATTGTACGATATATATTAAAGATGCATATAAAGATGCACTTCGATATAAAGTACAGTATTACTTTCATTTAAATTAACTACATTATCCTTCATCAAATAAATTACTAGAAACGCTATTGGAAATAATTGAATTTGGCTTCGGTGGTAAAGTAATCTGTTTTTACGATATAAGCAATGCGTTTTTACGAATAAAAGTTTGGGCAAATTGAAACAAGCCACGCGGTTAACCTCGAGTTTGTCGGATGCAAACAAGAGGACGATGATTTTCGGGAGAAAGTAGAAAGAACGTTTATAAAATCGACTGGGCGGTTGGTAAATGCCCAAAGTTTTGTCCTTTCGCAACTTCACAACTTTCTTGGCTAGTTGGCCGTACTACGTAGCGCGTAACGTCGTGCAAACTTACGCCGGCACAAGGGTGAGGAGGGCTGGCCTTCGCGAGGCAAATTTTCGAGGAACCGGTAAAATTTTAATTCGCAACGCCGAGTAATAAGCGATTCCTAGACAAATTCGAGGAAGGGACAAGCGTTTCAACTTTGAGTTTATCTTTAACTGGTTGAATGCGAATGTGAAATCCACGAGAGGTGGACGTGACAAATTTTGAAACGATTGAAACAACGTGTCGTAACTTTTGTTTAAAAAAGAAAAAGGGAGAAAAAAATTAGGGAACAATTGGAGGAACAGCCTCGAATCTGTTCTATTCGATTACAAAGCGAGTAAAGGAGAAAGGGAAACGTAAGAAATGGCGCGATAAGGCGGACGGAAGCAATGGAAGAAGGCGAAAAGGCAGAGCGCAAAGTTTTTGGTAATTTATTTTTTAATTCTACCTTTTGTCCGTGGAAATGGATACGGACGGGGTGGCGAGATACGGCTGTCGGTGAGTAGGAGAGACCGTTATACGGGGGTAGGGGTGAACGGATACGGGGGTGGGTCGGTTGATGCCGCGCTGAGCTAATTGCCAACCCCTTGGATTACGTCTCTTGGATGGGGATCTCAACTTGCGACGATGGCCGACCATCGGGAAATTGCTGTCTCCTCGGCCAACTTTTTCTTCTCTTTTTAGAAATTAAAAAAGAAGCCAAGAACCGAGAGGCACGCACAATGGTACGCCTTTCTACTTTGCCCTTATACATAATTTCGCGAGTCGTGATTCGAACTATGACCGACTTTTTTCCACGCCACTCACTCTCCCTTTCCCTTCGAATAATCGAATGATCGAATTTTTAAAGCGAATCATCCGATTTGCCGAAGTTTCAACGATAAATAAATGATCGACGCGTTGACTTACCTGGAAACGTCTCATGTCACGTGGATTGCCCGCATTCTTAAGGCAGTTCTGGTTGCACTTTAGGAAGAATTTGAGGAAGAATCTGAAAGCAGAGGGGAGCGGAGTTAAACGGTTGACAAGGTGCTTAACGCTCTTCAACGCCGAGAACTTAATTAGAACGCGAACTTGGCTGGAAAGTAAGCCTGAATATTGCATAAGCCAATCGTAAGCCCTGTTCTACTCGCCTATATTATTCAGTATTTCTCTAGATTAAACCTCGAACCACGCGTTCTTCGACCTTTAGGGCTGTATTGTATACCGCGCTAACGTTCATGGTTACCAGTCTACTAAAATGTCGAAAGGTGGCCACCTTTAAAAATATATTCGATTCCCATAAATCAGCGTCACAGCTTTCCACACGTTACATTCTATACATATACATACATATACATATATGTTTCAAGATTGTCTTACACGTTACAACTCGTTTGTCCAAGCATTCTTACATATCGTATCGTGATATCCAAGATAATAAATTATTCATAGCATTTTATTAATAGAATCTTACTTGTTTAAACGCGTAGAAAATTTAAAAACATTTTATAGAATATATTTCAAAAAGTAGAAAGAATCGTGGCGAAATATCAATGATACGCCTTTACGAATGGGAATAGTACGAGCGAAGAAGAAAAATTCCAAAAAAAATAAAAGAAAGGAAAGATAGGTTTTAGGTAAAAAGTCGACAGCTCAATTTTCATGAATTATGTATAATGTAGGGAGGATATTGAATTTGAGAAAATTTTAGTGGATGCGGGATATTCGCGTTCGCAGTGACGGAAGAGAAAGGAAGAGAAAGAATTGGACGAAGAGAGCGAAATAGGAATATATCTCTGTTGAGGAGAGAATGAGCGAGAAAGAGAGAGAGAGAAAAGTGGAGAAAACTCGTAGGAAACAATCAGGAGGACCGAGACGATGAAGAGTTGGACGGATGAAGGGGGGTAGTTTTCTGGGTGGCTGGTAGGCTTGTCCTCCCGTGGGACACCATTGTTATCCCCCTACGGACTGCGTCTATACGATCCCGGGACTCGAT